TGTATTAAACAGAAATCAATCCCCACTCGGGCTCTTGTCATTTCTGACTCTTAAAGAGACCCTCCTTTTTCATCTTCTGTTGCATTTAAGCCTCTGTTCCTGAACTGAATTATACTGTTTGCTTATATTTTGTTCCTTTATCTCAGCCAGACTGACTTTGCCACAAATTCCAAATAATAAACTGGGTAATTTTGGTTATTTTTTTTGCTTCAGAATTTTCTATTTAATTCAAACTTACATGTTACAGACCTATTTTTCTTAGTTGGTTAGACTCAAAGAGTTTAAAAAATTAGATGGTGCTTTTTATTCAAAATCAAGAGTTGTTGTTTTTGTTGTTGTTAGGTGTTGTCATGTCAGATGTGACTAACAGAGACCCTATGAGCAACAGATCTGAACCCTGTCCTATCTTGTGCCATCCTCAGCATCTCTAGACTTCCTGTTGTGGCTCTGTACTTTATATAGCAACAGTAGTTCATTAAAACTGATAATAGAAACCGTTTTCTTGGGTTTTTTTATTCATCCATAGAATAAATTTATGTTTAAATACTGTTTTGCCTTAATGACTTAATTTTTCAGTCTGAGACAGTTACATGTATTACTGTTCTTAGCGTATGCTGTTGTTAGGTGCTGTCGAGTTGAGTGTGACTCACAGCAAACCCTTTGAAGAACGGATCTGAGCCTTGCTCTGTCCTGCCACGTCGTCCTCATCTCTGATGTCCTCAAGCCCCTGTGTCAGTCCGTCTTGTTGAGGGTCTTCCTATCCTTCAGTGACCTTCCACTTTCCCCAAAGATGCTTTCTCAAGACTGCCCTTCCTGCCAGTCTATCCAAAGTATGAGACTAAGTGTCACCATCCTTGCCTCTCAGGAACCTCCTAGTTGCACTTGCTCCAAGACCAAGCATGTTTGTTCTCTTGACCGTCCATGGGTCCATAGCACTCTTCGCCAGCACAGCTTAAAGGCATCGCTGCTGCTTCTATATCCTTATTCATTGCCCACCTTTCAGATGCATGGCAAATAATCAAAAAGACCGTGACTTGAATCAGATGTGCCTTACTCTTTAAACTGACATTGAAGAAAGAAAACTTTATAGACTTAAAATTATCACTTAATACTTTTTTTTTGTAAACTTAACACAGAGCTACACTCACAAACCTGAAAGTTCTTAGATCAGTTATGCTCAGAATGATGACCTTTTTTGACATTTAATGTCTGATTACAACCTAATTTTAAAAAACTTGTTTCTTGAAACTTATCTACTTGGTTACAAGAATAATTATTCCTGTCTGTGGTGGTTGATTTGCCTTCTTCCATATATTGGTTATAATTTTTTATCTATTCTGCTTACCAGAGTTAGACTATGCCCGTTATGTTTTGAGTTTTCATTCTGATTCTGATTTATACACCTAGTATTTCGTAATGTACTCAAGATTTAAGTCAAACATCAGGTCACTCAGATGTTCACCAATTTCCAACTTTTTAAGAACCATAGGCATTGGCAATAAAAGGTTCTATTTCTACAAGAAACTCTTAAAAACAGACATTTAAAACTTAGGCTTTTCCCCTCTCCAACTCCATGCTTTGTCCTGCGGAGCAGCTGATGTAGACCTGGCATTTTTAATGTGTGGGGTTGTGTTCAACATTCCCCCCACTCTTGTGATCCCTTTCAGAGGTTTAGCTGTGGCCACTGGGCACTAATTCCAGTCTCAGGACTGTAGAAGTCAAAGTTCCTATAGTCCATCAGTCATTCTGGACTGATTATTTTGAAACATCCTTACTTTTTCTTCCTTCTTTGTTCCAGACCAGGACCAATGTTAGTGTCTCAGATGGCTGCTGTTAAGATTTTTAGACCCCAGGAGATACTTAACCAAAGTATTGAAACAGGTGTTTTCCTAATGATTTAAAATGTTGAATAGCATTTAGTGACCTTCTGAGTTTCATTTTGACATGTATTTCTTTTATCCCCTGGCCATCTCTGTGGTTTGGTTTGGTTTGGGTAGCTTCTATATGGTAGTAACGCCAGTAATAAAAGCTACCACCTCCTAAGAGGCACACTTAGTGCCAAGTGTTTAATCCTGTTCTCCATTCACTCCGTGAGGTAGTCCTTCATATCTCTGCTTCATAAATGCAGAACAGACCCCTTTGGGTCCACAGCCTTCTAATGAAGTATTATAATTGTATCAGCCGTTTGCTCACTGGAATACTCTCATAATTCCAGCTCACTGCCATCGAGTTGCAAATGACTCCAAGGTAGATGACTGTTCCAGGTAAAACTTGAGGGTTTTCAGGAAACTGTAAATTGCATGGGAGGAGATTGCCCAGCTTCTACTCTGGAGCCACTGGTGAATACAAACCACCAGAGACACCACCTTTGGGGACCTAGTGCAGCTCCCTGTTCACTGTGCCACCAGAGCCCCCGGCTTACTGGGAAACACAGCAAGATCGAGAGTAAGATGCCCATTTATCATGAGTAACAAGCGTATCTTACAGGATTCCTGTACCATCAGGCTCGCTTTGTGGTAGTTGAGAATTTATTTTCCTTTTAAAATAAAATGTTGAAACAAATTTCATTTTGATCATAGCCTTTCCTAATTCAGCCAGCCGCTTTCTTTCTGAATTCTTAAATGTTCCCTCCTTGTAATGAATGATGCTGTTCCGTTAGGAGAGTAGTTAGTTAGTTAGTGCCCTTACGCCAAGGGCCAGCAAACCATTAGCAAAGGACAAATCTGTCTTGTCTCTTGGTTTTGAAAATAAAGTTTTACTGGAATGCAGCAATAACCTATTTTGGGTAGCCAGCAAAACTCATTCAGCACAAGCTTTGGAGCCATTGAATTTAATATCTGATGCCAAAGACTGTTGTTGTTGTTGTAGTATACCGTTGAGTCAGACCTGACTTGAAGCTGACCGTTCAGAGGGTTTTCAGAGGCTGTTAATCACATGGGAGGAGGTTGGTGGACTTGAAGCTTGTGCCTTCAGGATTGCAGTGCAAGTCCTTACCATGGAAAGTGAAGCCTGTGAGAGCCAGGACTGTGCAGGACTGCCTTGTTTGTCAGCATTTGCTGTGTTTGCCACCTTTGATTAGGATGCCATGATCTTACCGCTTTTTAATTGCTTACTTTAGTGGAGAATATTCTCATTTTCTTTGACAGGTTTTTGCCTTACATAAATTTTTACTTTCCTGGGCCTCCCTTTGTAGGCAAAAGTTGGGGACAAAGTAAAAATTGTTCATTAACTTAATGTTTAGTTTCTTCAAGGACGTTCCACTAATTTGAGAATTTGCCTTCTATTGTAGTTACAATCTGATAGTACCCAAATAAGTGGATGTGTTTTGAGATCATTTCTTTCTTTACTTGCTAAAAATATTTTCCAGTCTTACTGAAAGGATTACAAAGAGAATACAAGAAAGATTCTGCTTTAATGTATTGAGAGATGAAATGTGGTCACGGGTGAGTTTTTATTTGCCCACCCTACCCAGGAGGAGCCAGTGCAGCATCAAATTTCCAATTATCTGGTCCCTCCGGGTCCCGCCACCCCCGTCCCGTCCCCCCCAGTGAGGTCTGCCCACACCCTCTGTCAGCACAGTCAGTGCTGCAGCCCCTTGATGCACTCAGGTTTCAGGAGCCTTGGGATCTTGAGCCTCTCCTCTACTTTGGGTTTCCTAATTGATAGTGTGAGCCTTTTCCCTCATCACACACTGGCATATAATGAAGGTGTTAGAGTAACAGAGTTAACAGAGGAGCACCCTGAGACTAATTATGCACTGTTAAGTTTTTTGCGCTGTCGCTGCATCCAGAAGATACACTTTGGTTTAGAAAATGTATCTGTGAAAATGATTCCTTTTCCCTGATATCAAGCACACAACAGAAACCAACTACTGACCTGTTTGAGTTCCTTAGAAGAAAGTACAACCATAATGTGACCCTTTCTTACCCACTGAGTATCACTTCACTAGTCACTTAATGTCCCACATGTTCTGACTTACTGAGAGTTTGAGATCCTATTTGATGTTACAGTAATAATGTGCTAAGTTGAAAAATAACACCGACAGGTGGTCTGAAATAAAACTGGGATAGTGGAGATAAACACTCAATAGCATAATATAACATAACATGTAGATTTAGCACCCCAAAAATGTAAACTAATTTAAATGGAACACATTTTAATTAATTAAAATATTCCAGAATGCCAGTAAATTTCTTTGTCTAACCTTGGTAAAATAATAATAATAATAATACTGTAGAGGATATTCGGACTTTGATTGGAGAGAAGGTCATTTGCTCTTAAAAAGAAAATCAATCTCTCTATATATATATATACACACACACACACACACACACACACCCCTCCCCATCAAAGAATAGAGAAGTGTAATTTCTAAAAGATAACTCAGATCACCAGAATAATAAATGAGTTGCTTAATACATAAAATTGAGATATTCATTCTTACTTTGATTCATCCTTTTGGCAGCAGAGATACTTTTTTAAGGCTTCAAAATGCAGTGTCTATGTCCAAGAAAAGGATTCCTATTCAGCTGTCATAGCTTAGTACTTACAGAAGCAAAATCTTAAATCTACAGTATGTAAATGGTAGTAAGAGATATGTGGCAGTGTGTTGAGAAAGAATATGAATGCTGGCTGTCAAGTTGGATTGGTTTTTGTGGAGCAGATTATTCAAACTTTGATATTCCTTTTTCAGTCTACAACTGGGTAGTATTTTGTCTTTATTGACGTTTAAAATGAATTGAATAAGATAATGTTTGAAAAGTACCAGGCAGGTGCTTTAGCTTGGCAGGTAGCTACATGTATTTAATACCTGGTACATCATACCATGATTATTTAAAGTAAGTGAACATTTAGTAAGTGTTCTCTGAGTAGTTACATGCCTTCCATTCAGTGTTCTCTGTACCTGAGTGGAGGTTACAGTCGTGGGGAGGGTGTATGTGTGGAAAACTACCTAACATTAAAATTAGAGAAGTGAAAATAAACCTTTTGGGGGTGTTTTGATGCAGAAAGCTTTACTAAACCGCCTGGAACGAATTTTCGAAGCCTGTTTTCCTTCCATGTTTATTCCTGACGCTGAAGAGGAAGTTACTTCTCTGAAGCACTTGCTGGAAACCAGCTCCTTACCGATAAAAACAAGAGAGGCCTTAGCTAAAAATGGGTAAGTAATGGATATTTTTTGGGTGGTGTATATTTTTGTTAGTTTCCACTGTTCTATTTGTAAATCAGTCTTTTAAAAAAAAATAATCTTAAGAACCTTAAAAACTTTAAGATTAAAAAAGAATTATCTTAGAACACTAAACTGATAATGGAGTATTCTCTGCTTTTGATGGAGAAGGCCAATGAATCAATATCCCATGGATTGTGCCATAAGAACAAACAGGTCTTTCTTGGAGAACATGAAACGGGGATGCTCCCTGTGGGCGGGCATGGATGGTGAGATTTTATTTTACATACTTTGGGCGGCGTTATTAGGAGGGACCGATCCTTGCAGAAGCATGTTATGTTTGGAGAGATAAAGAATCAGCTTAAGAGCGGAAGACTGTCAGCGTGATGGATTGACATAGTCCCTGTAACAGCGGGCCCAAGTGTGAGAATGGCACAGGACAGGGCAGGTTTCAGATCTGCTGTTCACAGGGCCACAGCAGCTCGCAGTAAACTCAGCGGCACATTACAACAACCCCACTTTTGAGCTATTTATTTTGATATTTCTAAATCAATATTCTACTCAGTCTGTTTTATTGTATATTATCTCCTTTAGTAGAAATTGAATTTTTTTAAATTACACTTGCTTTTCTCCATCTTTCATCTTCCCAGTAAATTTACATCCTCACAGTTTGTTTGGGGGTTTTTCTTGTTAGTTTCTAGAGTTAGAAAGCCAGAGAAAAGAAGAGGCTCAGCATTTCTCAAGCTCATGGAACTGAAGAAAAATAATACAAAGCTTTAATCGCACCAAGGAAGAATTCGAAGGGGGAAATCTTAAGGCAGGAAATATCAAAAGAAGGTGGAAGGACAGAGTCCCAACGTTAACACTGAACCATTTCAGGAAGTAGCAGATGAGCAAGAACAAATGATACAACTGAAGAAAGATGTCCAAGCTGCACTGTTGACATTGACAGAAAATAAGCCACAGGAACTGATGGACTATCAGTTGAGGTGTTTCAACAAATGGATACAGTCCTAGATGTGTGTGCCAAGAAATTTGGAGAACTGCTCCCTGGCCATCTGACTGGAAGAGATACTTGTCCCCATTCCCAAAAAAAGGTGATCTGACAGAGTATAGAAATTATTTAACAGTATCATTAATATCACGTGCAAGTAAAGCCTTAGTGAAGATTATTCAAAAAGACTGCAATTCTACATTGATAAAGAACTACCAGAAATTCAAACTGAGTTCAGAAAAGGCCGTGGGGCAACCTTTTCTGTTAATCACACAGATTTTGACGGAAAGAGGAGATATCAGAAACAAAATACCCTTTTGTTTTATTGACCATACAGGGGCATTGACTGTGGGATCAGAACAAATTATGTATAGCTTAGAGAAAAGTGGAAATCTCAGAACTCTTAATTGTGCTCATGCAAAACCTTTACATAGACCAAGAAGCATTTGTTCAAGCTGAACAAGGGACTGCTACATGGTTTCAAGCCGAAACTGTGTGTGTCACACGGGTCATACCTGTTCAGTCTGTATGGTAGAGATCTCAGGATGGTGCAGGACAGAGCAAGGGTGCCATCTGTTCGTCAGAGATGACAGCACCTAAAAGCAACTGTCTCTCCTGCTTTCGGGCATGGCTCATTTTAAGCAAAGCAAGTTGACAAAACCAGTTTCTTCTTGAGAGTTCCACACTTCTTATTTGCATGGTCCCACTTCAACTCGTTCACACGATCTTACTTCCACTAAGTTATCTTCAGCATTTGTTGGGCTACAAGCATCTGGTTGCATGGTGTCATCCAGTCATTGTATGGGAATCACAAAAACTCTGACTGGAAGACTAGAAGACTGCTGACTGAAAAGAAAGACTATGCTTACTGACCTTAACAGTCAGACAGTGAAAAGAATTTTCATAAAACTGTAGGATTATGGGTAAGTGAGTATTGGTACATCAGTCTAGTAAAATATTAAGCAGCCATTTAAAAAGACACATGCTTAGATTGTTGGGAACTCTGATGTGTAGTCCACAGGGCGCTGTACTGCTAACAACCCTGTTGGTTCAAATCCAACAGTGGTTTGATGGGAGAAGAATGGGCAATCTCCTTCCATGCAATTCACAGCCACAGCAACCCACTGGAGGGTCAGTTGTGAGTCGCTTCAACTCAGGAACAGTGAGTATAGTCTATTGCAGTTGTGTAGATTATGACTCAGAGCAACCCTCTGTGAGGTTCTTGAATTCTCTAAATCTTTGTAAAATGAAATTACCCAGCTTTCTCTCTTAGACAGTTACTGGATTAGAACTACTAACCTTTCAGTTAGCAGTACAGCATTTACAATGTGAGAGACATACAGGGGAACTCTGGCGGCCTATAAGAAGCTGCACTGTAGTCCCAAAGGCCCGTGGTTTGAATCCACCAGGTGCTCTGCAGGAGGATAGGCAATCTCCTCCCATGCAGTTTACAACCTCTGAAAATTGGAGGGTCAGCTGTGGGTTGGTTCCCACTCAAGGACAGACAACAGCATGCCACCAAAACTCCTTATATACCGACTGAGGAATTTATCAGAGACCTGGGGATAAAGCCTCAAACCACAAAGATCATTAACAGACAAAATGGGACCAAACCTAGAAGTCCTTGCTTATTGTAGAAATAGGCTTGCAAATACAACCAGAAATGTACAAACAGGAAAAGGTACTACCTAAAGATTAAGTCCTATGTGATTCAAAACCTTTTCCCAGTAGACTGAAAAGAAAACCTGACTGGGGAAAAAGCATTTGGTAATGCCGTCTCAGATAAGGTCTCATAATGAAAGTGTACAGGATGCTATGGGACCTCCACAAGATAAAGTATGAAAACCAAATTACAAAATGGGCAAAAGACATGGAAAGAAAGGCTTTTCACAGAGAAAAGATATTCAGATGGCCAACAAACACATGAAGAAATGATCAAAATTTCAGGCAGTAAGAGAGATGCAAATCAAAGCCACAGTGGATACCATCTCACCACAGTAGCAGTGGCAAAGATTAACAGGACAGCAAGAAATACATGTTGGAGAGGACGTAGAGAGATTGGAATGCTCTTCATGATGGGTGGGATTTTTAAATGGAACAAACCACTCTGGAAGGCAGTTTGACATTTCAAACCACTCTGGAAGGCAGTTTGACATTTCATTAAACAGCTGAACATAGAAATCCATATGACCCAGGTATTCCATTGCTAAGAATATACCCTGAGGAAAATAGAACTGAAACACAAACTGAGATTTGCATACCAATGTTCATAGCAGCGTCATTCACAACAGCAGGAAACAGCCCAAATGTCCATCAGCAAGTAAATCGATTGAGAAATTGTGGTACATTCACATGTTGGAATACTATGCAACACACAGGACCAATGGTTTCGGAAAATACTTTGTAACCTGGAAGAGACTGGAGAACATTATGCTGAATGAACGAACTCTGTCTCATAAAGAAAAATACTGTGTAAGACCATTATTGTAAAAGTAGAAGGACAGCTAGTAAGATGTATACAAAAAATTCGGAGGGGTAAGAAAGGGGAGAACAATGGCTGAGTGTAGGGGAGGGGAGGAGATCACGAGGTTGTGGAGTTTGGTGGGTGGAGGGAGGTGGTGAAGGAATTAGGAAAGATCCAGTGGGAACCCTGAAAAGACGGGATGATAGTGGACATAGATCCTTGGTGATTAATTTCATAAAATACGATATATGGGAATGACCACGTGAAAGGCAGTGTGAATTAAAGAATGTGCAAAACACAATGCGTATAGATGAAAATACAGGGTCTAAAAAAAAAAAAATAAAATAAAAGAAGAAAATACAGGGTCTACAGATTTGTATGCAAAACAATATAAAATAAAAATAATTTTTTAAAAGATGATAGAATGCAGAATAAACCATTCTTTGACCTTTTTTTTTTCAAGTCCTTGAAATATTTTGTTTCTACCCTACAAAAGAACAGCATACAGGTTACATTTCTACATAATTTGTTTCTGCTTGACATCATGTTGTCTCAAATGTATGTAATTTAGGTAATTTTCTAATGATCAGTGTTGACTGTTGATGCTGTGGAGGTAACTGTTGGATGCTTGTTTTGGACACATTAGTGAATGTTTTGTTACAAACATAATTAGATAGAGTTCAAGGGGGAAGCTGTGCATGTCTACTGCTCTTTGTGACATCATCATGGACTTTGCAGGGAACTGCTGGATGTGTGGACAGAGCTTCAGGACATCCATGATGCACATGGCCTGAGATACCAGTGGGGCGGCTCCCATAGCAACAAGAAGCTTTTGTGCTCCTTGGGAATAGACACTCGAAACATTGTGAGTTTGTTAATGCCTTTAAAACCCTTTCATCAACTGACAGCTTTTGAAAAAATCTGTAACAGTTCTGTTCAATGTGTGATGAACTAGTTCCTCAGAAAAAAAAGAATTCTCAGTTCCTTTAGCATCCATGTATTTTGCATATGCCCACTTTTACATACAAATCCACCTGCATTTTCTCTGTAGTCCCTATTCTTTTTCAAACAAATTCTGTCAGTGTTTTTCTATAGATTAAAATTAAGGCAGTGGAATAGGAGGTAAAAATTATAACCAGTTCCACAGGTTTTTCAGTTTACTATTCACAGTGTATGTAATAAGGGGTTGGAAACCTGTTTTTAGAATAGAATATGACAAATTATTTTCTCAATATCTCTTCTTTCTCTCTTAACACGTGTGTAGCTCTTCACGGGCAATAAGAAGCAGCCTGTTATAGTGCCCATGTATGCGGCAGGATTGGTAAGTGCAAACGTCTCCGTGTGGCCTTTATTCCTGCAAGATCACTTTACAGAGTATGACATGAAAAGTTTATTTTAAGAGGTATTTAGTATGATAAAGGGTATAAATATGGTGTCCTTTTAAATCTCAGAGATCCTGTCAGTAAGAATATTCTCTATCTCAGTAACCAGAGGTTGTTTTAGATTGACTTCTTTTTGTTAGTAATAATAATCACACTTCAACTTTTTGTAAAAAGTATCTTTAGAGATTTTCTTCACCCCCCCCCCCAAGTTTGCCTTTAAAAAGAAGCTAAAAAGTCTCTCAAGGCTTAAAGATTTTTTTTTCCATCCAGCTGTGATTAACTTCAAATAATAGAATATCAAGCCTAAGAATGTATTTAAAGGCTTAAAAAAATATAGTAAATGAAAATGAAGTAGGGCCACTAGATCTTTATTTTTCCATTAATGTTTTAAACATGTTGAATTTTGTGTTTTTTTCAGATATGCCAGGTAGTCCAGGATAACTGAGAAATTTTCATTGTGTACCTTTCAAGACTCACTGGCATTTTAAAGTTTGATGTGCTTGTGTTTGTTGGTGTGTCTTTGAGTTATTGGTGGGGGACTAAAGTCCTGTCAAACTAAAAATATTCTTAATTTTTCACCAATAACTTGGAAATAAAGGGGAAGCACTATATTTAAGAGAGAAAAATTAAAGGGAACTCCTTAGTAGTTCAATTCAAATAATATAACCCATTTGTGTGCGTGTGAATTTGCTGTGGAGCTTTTCAGTTGACAGACCTTTTCCATGTAAAAGCACCAGTGATTGACACTGAAGTAGAACGTTGTTTCATTTTTGCAGTGGTTTTGTGGAATTGCTGGAACGAACATTTTATGTGCTTGAAGTTTCTGGTCAGTCTCTGCTGCTGTATTGTGTTGTACTTAAGAAAAACTTTATGGGGTTTTGTTTTGGTGTTTTTTTAACAGTTTTGTTGTTGTTGTTGTTGTTGTTGTTGTTGTAGGTAAATAAAATCAAAACCAGTTCTTAAAATTGTTGTTATTTGGGTTGCTTTTCAAAGTAGATGGTCCAAAGATGGATGGCACATTCAGGGCAGTCACGGATTTGATTTGGGGGCATTTTCTTTAGCGTGTTGGGGACCATGGCCCAGCTCCATCATTATGTGCAGTGTAGGCTCAGCACATTTTCCACTTCTTAAATGTTTGCAAGGAGTTAGGCACTAACAGGACAGATTGTACTCTGCCTTTATTACAGTCCTTACTGGTCTGCATTCTGCCATTTTTTACAAGCTGTAAAAAAGGGGTTTTTTTGTGTGTAAATCCATTTTCTCACCCATCTTTGTGAGATCTTTTCTTTAGAAACTTAACTCTTTTTAACATCTGGTTTCAAATTTCAGTCATCCCTAATTTATTCCAGGTGGTACTTTACATGTTACATGTTTAATATTTTCATTGTATCTGGAGGAATGGTCTCTGGGAACAATCATTTAAGACAATCATTGAAGTTTCTGGAATTTTAATGGGTGTCAAAATCATTTGGCAGACTTGTTAAACACAATTTGCTGGACATTCTCAGAATTTCCTGTTCTGTCGGTCAAAGGTGGAGCCCATAAATGTTAGATGAAGCCAAAGCTGCTCATTAGAAACTCCACTTTGAGAACCGCTCGTCTGTCTAAGTGATAGTTCACGTTAGAAAACTCTGCTCAGACTAGGAATTAGTTTGCCAAATGTTACAGTCTGCCACCTGCATAAGGAAGTCGTCTGTACGGTACATACGGTAGTAGGATAAACCATTGGCGTTAATCTCCATTTTCTGTCTTTGCAGGTATCATTGTTAAGAATCCAGCTTGTAAAGTGTCAGTTTATACCCTACTTTGTCAAGGGTAGATTTTCCTTAAAACTTTAACCAGCTTTGCTGTTTCTCTCAGGAAGACACACATTAAAATTCCAGAAACTAGGGAGTTCTGGTAGCCTAGTGGCAGGAAGCTGCACTGCAATCCCAGAGGTATGCGGTTCGAATCCACCAGATGCTCTGCTGGAGAAGGAGGTTCGATCTCCTCCAGTACCAAATCAGATCTGATTTGACGGTACACACACACAAAGATAATAAAATATATTTTTAAAAAAATTCCAGAAACTTCTAATGATTGGCATATATGATTGTTCCAAAGACTATTCCTCCAATATAATGAAAAGAGTGAACATGTAATATGTAAAGTACCACCCCACCTGGAATTAGTTAGAGATGACTGAAATATGAAACTAGGTGTGTTAAGTTTCTAAATGAAAGATCTCACAAAGATGGGAGAGAAGACAGATTTACATGGAATAAACTTTCTTATAGCTTATAAATAATAGCAGAATGAAGACTAAATACCCACAAGTGAAACGTGGGGTAAAAGTGTTTTAAGTGATAAATATTCTAAGGATTGTCAAGTATGCTATTTAAATGTATAAAAGTTTGACTGACTTTGAAGCCTGCTTAGTACCCATTTATTTAGTGTTTAGTAGAGGTTGGATAAAAATGCCGATTGCTGCTCCGACCCCCTTTTGGTCTCTAGGCCTAAATGTCCTTCTCTGATACTGAAGGTGTGTTAGATTTGTGATGTGAATGCTGTTTCCCTCTGCAATGGTTGTGTCTCTGCTTTATCGGTGCAAGAAACTCAGTGTCAAAGCTCCAGGTGTGGAGGTCAGGGTCCCACACGCAGTTCACACCGGAGGGTCGAGAGGCCCTTGCACAGCTGGCACGTTTCGGAACCAGCTCTTAACCTCTTGGTAACACCTTCCCGCCATCACAACGGAATGTGCTCAAGTGGAGCCCCCTCTGTCTCTTCGCTGTCTGAGCCATCCTGAAAATGCTTTGTCTTAGTGCTCCTCCTCCCAAACTGTGCCTGTGTCTCCATGGAACTGTAAGAAGTAGGCACTTTAAAACAGCCTACACTTGAAATACAGGGTCTTTCAGGATTGTCTGTGAAAGAAAAATTTGTCTTCAGGACTGTTGAGATGACCTGTGATGGGTATTTTTTTTGTCTTTTACTTCCTGCTAGACTAACTTGCTTGTTAAGTTGACAGTTTCGTTCTTTCCCTCCCCTCCTGGTTGATGGCTAATGCACCTTTTCCAGGGTATGTTAGAGCCCACCAAGGAGCCATTGAAGCCACTATCTGCTGCAGAAAAAATTGCTTCCATTGGTCAGACAGCCACCCTGTCACCAGAGATGAACACATGCACATCTGACCAATTCCAGGTAAAAAGATCCAGCTATGTTTAGTTTATATTTACATGTATATAAAAATGGGGGGGGGGGGATTGTGCGTGCACACATCTGCATACGTGCATACAGGTAAACTTATATTTTTTTCCTTAATTTGATGATGTTAAGTACCATGTGAACCTATGCATAGCTAACCCTCCAGCAAGTCTGCAGAGGTTATAAATTGCTTGAGAGGAAATTTCCCATCTCCCAAGAAGCACCTGCTGGATTTAAACTGCCAACCTTTGGGTTGGCATTGCAACTCTTTACCACTAGACTTGATTATTTGTAAACATTCCTCAGAATACAGTTAACAAAGTATCTTGTCATTTCAAACGCGAACAGCACAATTTGATAACCGAGTGACTCTGGTAAATGGCTTAACCCATCTCAGCCTTAGTGCCTTTTCTTCATAAAATGAAGAGCCTGAAGCAGGTTGTCAGTAAAGTCCTGGAAGACATGAGCATTTTATGATCATAGTCACTTAGATGCACAAATCTGGTACATGTTTAAAAAAATCAACCAAGCAGCAAATACTGCATTTATACCAACTTTTCAAGTCTATTGTGTGCTTTCCCAAAGTCTGAGAAATTGTATGAAGTAATAAAATTTCAGTGTATTCATTATCTCAAAAACCTATTGTTTGTTTCCATAAACCTGTTACATTGAAAAAGCCATGGCCTTAACAATACCTTACACAGACAAGGAAACAAAAAGTTATTTCACATGTCTTACCCTTTATCTCTATCATATATTTAAGCTCAAATTTCCTTTTACTCTCACAAACTAAATATTTTAAGTTTTCTATCTCTAAAACCTTCTATATGGGGAAAAATGGACCGTTTTTACTTGCTTCCCACGTTATATAGGAAAAGGATTCAGTGCTGGTTAGAGTCTGAGAAGATTGGCATTTTTCTAGAATCTGGGTTTGTTGGTTGTTGTTGTTTTTTGTTAGAATCTGTTTTAAGTCTTTCGCTATGGTAGTAACATTACCATACCTACAACGTGTCCTCGTGTCCTCGCTGTATTTGTCAATTAAGTATCATCTTCAGTCCTATTTAACACACACACAGAAGGTTGGGTTTTGTGTCCTAAGGTGTATGTTCCCCCACACGCTGACCGCTAGAGAAGTTCTGCAGCCCCACTCACCACCACCCTCCTAGAGTCACAGCACAGAAGCCTGGAAAGCATGCTTTCCATGGTAATTCATCTCTTCTCATATTTACTCGACCACAGAACTCTTTTCTTGCATGGGTCAGTGGCAAGGGTCATAGTAATAATACCTGAAGGACGACTTTTGTTTGGTTTTTCATTCAGTCATTCGTGTTCATTATCCACTTGTAACATCAGTTACAATCAATCAGTGCCCTCTAACACAGTATCTCCTCAACTCCTCACGGCACCTCGCCTGTTCCTTCCCATGAGCCAGCTGTCCACTGAGCTCTCTGCCCTAGGATTTCTCTTCCCCCCACCCCTCCTCTCTCTCCCTTTCACCCCCACCCCTGCTCTCTCTCCCCCCTCACCCCTGCTCTGTCTCCCTCCTCCTCTCTCTTCCCCCTTCACCCCTCCTCTCCCCTTCCTATACTTAGCCCTACTCTCTCTCCCACCTCATCCCTGCTCACTCTCCCCTTCCCCCCTCTGTCATTGAACAGCTGCAGGGGAACTGTTCCAGGTTTTTAATTGCAGTACTCGTATTGTCTGTCTGTCCATTCTTCCCAGGTCTTCCTTCCTTCCCCTGATCCAGTACAGAGTTCCTTGTCTCACCATTCTGTTTCTCCTTTTGCCTCTATCTCCCTATTTTTTTTTTTCAGTATCAGTCTTAACACAGTTTTTGTCCTGTTTTATCTTCGTTATTTCACTCAGCACAGTGTCCTCTGGACTCCCCTGGGTTTCACAAGTTCCCCTTTGCTTTTTAATGCTGCATAGTATTCCATCGTGACTACTTGAAACACACACACCTGTGCATTAATGATAAAAGGACTATTGACCCCCTATTTTAGCCAGGTCTGCATCCTTTTGTTCGACAACATTTAAGTGTATCCTTTTATTGTTGTTCTCTTGCTACTTGTATAGAAAAAGATGCCTTCCATCTAAAACACACATTTCTCTATTTAAAAAATACATGTATTTTTAAATTAGTAATGTATTAAATTAATGCATGTATTAAATGAACAGGTTTATCTTTTTCTTTTTTTTTTATTTTGGCATTAGTTTGTGAACTTTAGTTAGTTTTTAGTTTTCATCTTTTTGTGACCCCAATGAAAATAAAATTTACCAATAGAAATTGTCTGAACTTAAATGTTGAGACATTAAATTGAGTTGAGGTTCTAAAGATGTTCAGTGTAACATCTACACAAACTTGTTGCAGACCGAGGGTCCCAAAGAATGGAATAATTTTATAATTATTAATAAAGAGACAAACAGTCAGGAATGAGATAAAGCAGAGAGCATAAAACAGAGGGTCAGCAGTTCTCGACTGAAGACCCCAAGTCAAGCTTCTCTGTATCTTTATTGAAAATTATCAGGAAGTAAATCACAAAGAGAATTAAATGCAAATGAAGCCAAGCTCTTTCTATTGAAAACCTTCTGCTTGACTC